TAGTCGACTAATCGTGGCGGCCCTACTTCACACAATAAAGGTAATTATGGAGGCTCCACAGGCTTCTGTGCTGGGATCAGTATTAATTCCATTTACATTATACATGCTTCCCTTAGTCCTTATTATTAGAAGGCATTACACATTTTCATTGCTATGCAGATGATACCCAGCGTTACCTATCCATGAAGCCAGATGACACACAACAGTTAGTTAAAGTGCAGGCATGCCTTAAAAACATAAAGGTTCGGGTGACCTCTAATTGCCCGCTTTCAAATTCAGATAAAACAAAGTTTTTTGCACTTGGGCATAAATCTCAGAAAAATGGTGTTTAAACTCTGGATGGCATCACCTGGTCCTCCCGTAACACTGCAATGAATGTTGGAGCCGTTTTTGACCAGCCTACGTCCTTCAACATCCATATTAAACAAATAAACAGGAAAGCGTTCAGCTTTCAGGCGTCTTCTGTGAAATCAGCTCCAGTTTGGATTTGGGGAACAGACACCTTCTTTACTTTGAGACCACGCTTAAAACTTTCCTTTTTGATAAAGCTTATTTTTAGGACTGAATCGGGTGACCCTGAACCTTCCCTTAGTTACGCTGCCATTCAATTCAGTTATTGGTGCTACCAGCTAATGAATCATGGAGTATACTGTGAAAAGCGTTCTTTTTCACATGACTGCATAATGTACTGTTAACACTCGATTACACTGCAACAAGAATGTGGGAGAGTATCTGATTTATACATATTCTATTAAGTACAGATGACTTAAATATGCTTTGCTGGTTCAAAGACTTACTTTGCTGTTTCTAGCAGTTTGATAGCGTCATCCTTTCTGCCTTGCTGCAGACACAGCAGACCATGTTCCAGCAGGGCATTGGGGACCAGGTAGTGGTCATACTTGATCTGACTTTCACTGAAGATGAGAACAAAAATCAAATGTCGACCTGTTTTCACCAGAACTCAACTGAAAGACTGAAGCACTTGGAGGAAAGGGTCTTACTTGCAGAGGACGAGGGTAAAGTAGTGCTCTGCCTCCTCGTGGTGACCCAAGTGTTTGAGACACAGTCCCTTCAGGAGGCTCAGCAAACACTGATCATCTATGGAGAACTCCGTTCCTAAAAGTCGGCACCAAACAGAAGACAGACTGGGTCATTCTGAACAAACAATCTCAATTATATCTACATCACCACCCGTCTCTAATATGTTTGGATTAATTTCTGTAATATAGCATTTATTTCAATCAGAATTATCTTTGGAAATGTGCTTAATGGATTTACATACTTGGTAGACTTTCAAGTTGAGCCTGTGCCTCATCCAGTGTTTTCAGCATGCCTTCAGTTAAGTCTTTGTGTTTGCCAATGACTGTATAACCGTTCCAGATGTACATCATCTCCTAGAAGACAGACAAACATATGCACGAATCATGCACGGCTAACAACCAATAATAATCTTTTACTACAGGTCGACAAAAAAAGCATTTTCTCTGCAGTGAAACTCGGGATAATCACCTTTAGCACTATGGGCACAGATGTGCACACTGCTGTGGCATTTGACAGGTTCAGCCATTCAAAACAGATCCCTGCTACCTTAACTGTGCAATGTGCCCCACTGGTGAAATAACAACCCTCGATTACCTCTTTGCTGATGCTGCTGTGGTCAGTCACTAGTTTCAGTGCTTATTTGACACGGCGTAATGTTTATTTAGTAAATTATGATCCTATTTAGGGTAGAATAGATGACACAGCAGGTTGATTTAGGGAGCGACTAACTTCTGATTCATACGTCACTACTTGTATGAATGTGCAGTCTCAGTCAGGTCAAGCAAATATGAAAACAACCAAAATTACAAAGTTGAGGTTTCAAAATTATAGTTCACAAGTTCACCTATTATATAAAGTCTGTGGATAGAATAGCACAGCTGTCTGAGCTATGAGTCACACATATGAACTGTCCATTCTGATTGGCTGAACCAGGACATTCACGTTTTACAGGGCTGCACCGCAGGGTAAATAGGAGGCAAATGTCAAATAAAGTCTTTGGCTTTACTTTAATTTAATTTATGTTTACTGGGCAACATGCATGATGGCGTCATCCAGGGCTCACCAGCGGAGGAGCAGGAAGAGGTACGGGATTTTCTGCCAGGTAGCGGCGGGCTTTCCTGATAGCAAACTTCTCCGTTGGTAAAGACTTTCCTGCTATTTTCTGCTTAAGCCCTGGGACCTGCCTGAAATATGAGATGCATTTAGTAATTACATATCCTCCAGACAGTTTTAACAGTCTAATCAAATGTTTTATCATGGAGCACCGTTAATGGTGTGTTTTACCATAAAGAATTAGAATATCTGTGACACAAAAAGAGTTTAATGTCAAAAATACCAGTTTAATTTCTGTCATATTACTCCTCTGATACACCTTATAGAGTATTCTTAAATATTAGCTCATATTATTTACCAAGGACAGGCTCTTTGGGGAAGATACGATTATGACATTATTGATACTTTCACAGTGAGTCATCTCTGCTTTGCTGAGTAATTTCAGCAGCGTCTTAATTCCTACCTGAACAGACCAAGTGCTGTCTCCCCAAACGTTAGGCAATCATCCTTAGTCAGCATACTGAGGTAGGCTGCTTTCATATATGCATAGGTAGCCTGAGGGAAGGAAAAACGTGGTTACTAATGAAATCTCATCCTTCCTTTGAAAATGAGATAAGGAGGGAAAAA